CAGCCTCTAAATTTTTACCTGCAAATGTTTGTGCAAAACACTATAGGTATGTGTGAAAGAAGGATTTATACAGGTACCCCCATAAAAACACCTGACAAATTAGCTTATGAAATTTTTTTTCATTCAGAAATGATTGCTGTATAAACTTTAGAGGCTGGATTGAGGCAAAACTGCAATAAGTTGTTATTTAAGAGCAAGGCACATTGGGAACCCTCTCTAGGATAAGAGTTACTAGAGGGTGGGAGAGCAGTCGGAATTAGACTTTGGGAAAGGAAAGACCTGTAGTCACTGCAATAAGGAGTATAGCAAGGGAATCTAGCTTATACCTGCTTTTTTTTTCTGTTCCTCTTTGATGCTAGTAAACTGAGATTTGGCCTTCTATCCATTTAGTTCTTGGGTGCTGAGATCCAGATGATGCATTACACAATCTGTCTTGAACCTTCCTGTTTGTTACGGTGGCACAATATAGTGCAGTAAAGCTGAAATGTGTTCTTCTGCAGTACTGTTTACTTTGATACCTTGTTTAAACTCCATTCATAAGGCAGGCAATACATAACCTAAAACAAACATTAACAAAAATGTTGTAACCGTGACATTGGGCGATGTTGGTTCATATAGACTCAATGTAGTATCACATCATGTACGCCGTGGAGATAGTTCAACAGATAAATAATCAGTTAAAGGAAAGAGCTACATTAACACAGCAAGTGAGTGACACTCCTATCTAGTTTAACAGTGCATTTCCATTGACTTCATAGAATTGCAGGCCTGAATTTGGTTTAGGCATATTAATGTAGCTTTTGTTCCTTTAACTGGATTATTCATCTGTTTAAATTTCTCTGTTTATCATGGCATTTATGCTGTGATACTGCACTTTGTATGAATGAATTTTACACAATGCTGTCATTGCATCATTTATGCTAGTTCCTTTCCTTCCTCTACAAATTGTTTCCTCACCTGCCTGCTTGGAATTGAATCCCACTCAGCTGGCATAGCACAGTGTTTGGAGTCTGTGATAGCACAAAGATCACTACATGCAGAATAATAGGCATTGCAGCTGAGCAGCCCAAACAAATGACTTTAAAGGGGTCCCAAACATTGCTTTGTTAAGTTCACTCCTGGTTATTTAATTATCTGTAGCCCTGAGACTTTTGCAGTAATAGGTCACCGTTTCTTTCTTTCCCCTAGGCCCTCTTGTTCTTGGGCCAGAACTCCAGAATTAGATTTCCTTGTTAGGAGATAAATGAGTAGCCAAAGACTCATGATAGTCACTCCTCATTCAGATTTAGGGATATCGTTCCTATTACAATATTATTTACTTTATTATCCGTGCCAAGGATTGTCAGCCACCTTCCAATACAGACAAAAGACAGGAGCTTACATGAAGCTTATAAATTAATTTCAGACATGACGCAACTGGGGACGTGGGGGGTTTACAGGACAACCGAGCAGAGGAGAGGGAAAGATAGGGCTAACGTTAAAAGATTATACATATGCTCAGTGAATCAAGTGTATACCATGATGGAGCAAAGACTTTGTTCTAAAATATAATAAAAACAGGAAGTTGGGCACCTAACTGGCCAGTTTCATGTAGGTATGGTGGAAGAGGAAGGAGATGATGTGGCTTTGGGGACCAGCTCAGAAGGGCATTCTGGTTTGGGGAGAGGGTGGTAAAAAGCACAGAGACAGTTATGAGATGAGTGGCCAAACAGGGTTCTAGGCTGACTTCCTTGGTGGAGCAAAGTGCCTGTAGTTGCATTGAGAAGGTATGGGAAATCAACAGTAAAGCTTACAATTCCCAGGGCTTATCTGCACTACTGGCTGGATCGATGGGCAGCGATCAATCCAGCGGGGGTCAATTTTTATCATGTCTAGTATAGATCAACCACCGATCACTCTAGCGTTGACTCCGGTACTCCACCTCAACGGGATGCGCAAGATGAATCGATGGGAGACGCTGCAATGAAGATACCATGGTAAGTAGATCTAAGTACATCGACTTCAGCTACGTGAATAACATAGCTGAAGTTGCGTAACTTAGGTCAATTTCTTCCCCCCCCCCCCCAATAGTGTAGACCAGCCCTAAGCAAAGTAATCTTACATGCTTGGAGAGGAATCAAGAGCATGTGTTTGGACCGTCACTCAATCTCTATTCAGACATGAGCCATGTGTCACTCAAGGCTACCCCAGCATGGGAATAGATATGTCTGCATCTGTAATGTAAAGGATGTTTATTCCACTGATTTACTTCTGATAAGGACCTCTGAGCCTTTGAGACAGTGTGCTAATGATTGTCTCAGTTCTTGATTCAGGCATCTGAGTTGTAGCCCATCCAAGGCATTGGGAGGTGTCTTCTGTGACAGTTTTGAGTTTAGCTGTTCTGTCAGATTTACTCCTCCCGCTCAAATAGAACTGGCTGCATAGCAATGGCAGTGTTTTATCCCTCCATCACATTTTTTGCTATAGTTACAGTTGATGCATCTTGCTCGAAGCAAAGTTTGTGCTCAGTCCAGGCTCTCTCCTTCTTGCTTTTGTTGCAACTGCTGTGCTGTGGCAGGCTGCCATTTTTCTAAACTCAGTATTCACATACAGACCTTTCTGCAGGACGGGAATGGCCAGGATTATGCATGTTTGCAGTGTGTCCTTGGTAGCAAGGAATTACTTACAATGCAAGGGGGATTCTTCCCACTGTGAGCAATGTGCTTACTGAGCTGTACTTTGGTCCCCATCCAAAGAGACAGACAGATTTTTTGTAAATAGGAGGAAAATCAATAGTTTGGGTTTTTGTTTTTAACATAGATTCTTTTTAATTTTCTATGTTTTTAGCAAACTTTTGTCCTGTGTGCTTTATTGTGTTATACAGTACTTTTCACTAACTACCAAAATAAATTCAATGCTATCCTGGACATATTGCAACCAATTGTTTCACTGTGGAAGAATATACAGGGTTGCATAAATGGTGTTTTTAAATAGTCCCACATTTATTTGAGGTAGTAGTTTCCAATATTGACTTTGGTCTCCTGTCAGCAAAAGGGATGTGTTCACACTGAATCCCAAACAAAACATTTTCACTGCCTGGGGCAAATACACATAAATATTTAAGAGTACAACCAACCTGCTATAAAGCTTGTTCTCCTTGCCCTCTCAAGTTTGAGGAGCAGACTAACTTTTTTTTTTCATTTGACTTATTTTTAGCTCCCAACCACTTAATTATTGGTGTGGGTGCTTCTATCACACCCAAAACAATTACCATGCAAATCTGGACCTTTTAAGAATTGCTTCATACAATGATTGGTTTCTGTTGGGACCAGGTTCCCAGGAATATCACCCTTCTGGGTGCTCATTTTATGGGAGTAATTTAGGAACATGGTAAGCCCATAAGATTGGCTAAGTAAGCCAAGGCTGGCTGATGAACAAACAAGCCACAGGTTTGTGATTTAAAAAATAAATGAAGCAAGAAGAGTTTTCCACAGCCAGAATTTGCCATATAAAATAAAATGTCTTTGTGCAGCCAGAGCTCCAAGATCAAAAACTGAGCTCCTAGAGTAGGCCAGAAGAGGCTGAGAGAGACACCAATACTCACTCCTATTATATTCACTCTGCAACCAACAGCCTTCACTAACTGCAATTCCAACAAAATCTCAAGATCAAAGGTTACCAGATCCTTACTTTGAACATGTCTGCTCTCTAAATACTGGGATCCTGATCATTTTCTAGAATCTATAAATCTAAGTCCAGAAGGGATTATTGTGATCATCCAGTCTGACCTACTGTATAACACAGACCATAGAACTTCCCCAAAATAATTCCTAGATTTTAAATCAAGATTGATTTTAAAATTGTCTGATGGAAAATCCACCATGGTGCTTGGTAAATTGCTCCAAATTCTGGATACAGCCTGAAAAATACCTAATAAACCAGACAGGGCAGCACAAACAGTGTGCAGAGTAGTTTAAGGTCAGAGTTAAGGGTGATTGGATACCTCAGTTCTGCCTTTCCATGCTTCATTTTATTTATCTTGACATAGAGTTTCTTGGTCCTCTAACATTTATTGTTTGTAAAACCACAAGGTTCTAATCAGGTTTAGTTTGAGTAAGGCATTGATATAATCTCTGCTATATCACTAGATTAACTTTTCTTTGGGGCAGGGGGGCTGTGATTCTTAAATTTTTATAGATTTTATAAGAAATAATCTGTGGCACCTTGATATTCCAACGCTTGAGTTTAGAAGAATTTACTAAGTGTGTTGGACCTATCAATGCACATTACAGGTCCCTTGATTTGAAACTTTTGAGTTTTGTATGTGCATGCAGCTGCGTCTAGCAGGCTTTGGGTTCTGGCAAATATTGTAAAGTATGTATGGGGAAACTTCTACAGTTTGCTGGTGCAGCTTGCAAAATCCTGGCCCTAGGGCCAATGATTTAGGACTGCATTAACCCAGGTGCTTGTGTGTGTGACTTTCAAGCGGAGCAGAAATATATATTGTTGATACAAGTTTACTTCTCTACCTCCAAACGTACACCTTCATGAAACTGGAAGTGCGTGGGTGGGTGTACACCATTCAAAATTGCTTTTTAAAAAAAGGTGAAAACCCCATTAAGTAGATATAGCCATTCATGAGGCCTTTGCACTTGGAGGGGGGCTGTGGGAGATCTGCCAGTGATCTGTTTCAAGCACATACAGTGAAGTCAGTAACGGACAGCCACAGAAACAAAGTTCTTATACTAGTTTGTATATATTCTCTGGAATACTTTACTAACCAATATTAATACTGAACAATAACTGAGTGGAAAATATTTATGGATTAAGATTTCTAAACAAATTCTCAAGCTGAGCCAAGCATTAGCTCCACACTACCACAATTCTGAAAGATTAACTTTTGTATTATTTGGCTATTCTTTGATTCCAGTGAAAGAGACAAAGCAAGGGTTCTGTTATGCACTGAAGAAGGTATACATATTTTAAAGCCCCTGTTTTGACATCCATATATTTCTGTCCAGAATGACAAAAACCCCAAAAAGATGATGAAAGATGACAACGGGAAGAAGAGGAACAACAAATCATCATTTAGTGATGAAGACGAAGATGCAATGAAACGGGCCCTGCTAGAACAGGTAATTCCAGTACGATGTTTGCAGATAACTTAAACTACTATGTGGGGTAATAATTCCATAGAGTTAGAACATCTGGATTGCCAGAACCCAGAGAGCTCTCCATGGTTATCCACATGCCCTGATGGCTTCTCTGGTTGTAGGGCTCATTCATTCCTTTGGCTGATAAAGGAACTGATGCTGATGTTAATGCTCATTTTACCCTTGTGTGGTGTTCCGTTAATTTCAGTGGCATTGCTCTTGACCTACTTCAGTGTAAATGAGAAAAATTGGACCCAATGATCCAGATCTAGTATTAAAAACTCTCCTCAAACTGGAAGACTCATGGGAATTGAGGTAGCTGTAATTACCAGTACATTACTTGGGAGAGTCAGGTTGCTCTTATAACGGATAGGTGTGGTGTGTGTGTTGTTTTTTTTTTTTTTTTTTTTTTTTTTTTTAAAGTCAGCTTGCAGATAAACTAGGGAGTACAGCATATTGGCTATTCCTAAACTCTTAGGTTAGAATGCTCAGCTCTGTATCAAACTGAAACTTTAGCAAAAGGAAACATTTATATGGACAATATTAGTGAATGTTCATTTAATAATATGGCAGTTGCCAGGTACCACCTTATGTGGTGTAATGGAAGGCAAATTTTTTCACCTTTATACTTCTGTACATTGCTGTGTAGTTGTGACCTGGCTTGTGCCTACCTGGCGGGTTTACTACTGCACTTTGGATGACGCAGAAACTGTCAGGTGTGCGTGTCCTAACTCCAACGTTGCTAATGGCTAAAGCAGATTCTCCGTTAGCTCAAGTGCCTGTGTGAAGTTCTGAGTGGCCATGGCATGTAGTAGTGTGCCAGTCTTGAAGTCCTAGAAGGTGCCAAAGGGGTGTTACTATATTCAGTTGAAGAGGCACTGTCGTATTTAAAGCCCCAATTTTCATTGATTTAAAGAAGGTAAATCTTATAAATATTTTTTTCTTTCTGTAATATCTCCCTGATGGACATCTGTACAGACCCACAGACAAAGTAGTATACAACATATAGAGATGTTGTGGGTTGTTGCATCATATCACCATACACTATGATGCTATAAGAACAGGAGTACTTATGGCACCTTAGAGACTAACAAATTTATTAGAGCATAAGCTTTCGTGGACTACAGCCCACTTCTTCGGATGCATATAAAGTGAAATATATATATATACACACACACACATACAGAGAGCATGAACAGGTGGGATAATGCTATAATAAGTTCTTTGGGAACTTGGCAATCAAAATGTACATCTGTCAGGGTCCAAAACAGTTTATATAGAAAAGCAGGCACCCTTACTTACTTAGCTGCCATTGAGTAAAGCACGCATATCTACTGAAAATTGATTTGGGGCCTGGCAGTTTACTGAGACACTGATCACAGAAATTCTTCAGCTGTGGCAGGGGTAAATTGGATGACCATATGCTTCGCTTGGGCCAGTGGGAACCTGGTAGTATTGAACTGGACCATAGTCAACAGCACCATCTGCTGGGAACTCACTATAATACTTTGAGTTTATTTCAGTTATTCTGCAATATATTAACCTGAGAATATTTATATTTGTAAATATGCAGAGTGTTATCAATATAATAGTAGGTAGTATATTGGCACTTTGAATACACAGAGAAGTGAACAAAATAATTCATACTGAAGTTTCTTCTAATTTAGAATTAAGAACACAGGGTCATAAAAGATAGAGAAAGAAAAGATCTTGTAGATTCACCTGTCCCCAAACTAATGCAGCACATCATTCCCAGATAGATCAGACATAAAGCTGATATTGCACATGCATTTAGCTCAGACACAAGAAAGCACTGGCTGTTGTATTGTATGATACTTATGCACTTCCAGCTTTAAGTATTGAACGGTACTTGAATATAGGTTTTTATTACTAGTGTTCAAATGACTTACTATGAAATACATAGTGACCCAAATTTTTAAAGGCGTTTTGAGATTTGTGTATAAGTTTGTGTACAACTGTGCTCTTACATTTGCATGCACAATTGTTGGGATTTTGTATATTCAGTTATGTAACACCAGAGTTACAAACTGACTGGTCAACCACACACCTCCTTTGGAAGTATGCAAACAGGCAGCAGCAGAGAGAGAGAGACACACAAAAAGGAAATACAGTACAGTACTGTTAAAGGTTAACTACTAAAAAAAGGGAAAGTTTAATAAGATTTGACAAGCTTAAAACCTGTTTCTGCACTTGTTTCATTTAACTTGAGATGGTTAAAAGCAGCATTTTTCTTTTGCACAGTAAAGTTTCAAAGCTGTATTAAGTCAATGTTCAGTTGTAAACTTTTGAAAGAACCATGACGTTTTGTTTGGAGTTACAAACATTTCAGAGTTATGAACAACCTCCATTCCCAAGGTGTTCATAACTCTGAGGTTCTACTGTAATTAGTATTGAACATGCAGTCATAGTAATTGCATGTATAAATATAGGTGTGCAGTTTTGCTCATGGATTTTTCAGCCATCTTTCATTATAAACCTACCCCTACGGTCTGTTCTTGAGCCACTGAAGTTGATGGCAAGACTCATTGACTTCAGTGGCACAGAACTGGGCCCTAAATATACTACTGGATAGTATTCTAGTTACTAGAATACTAACTGTATGCTTTAATACAATGATGTAGATGCAAGCTTGGCTGAGAGAGAATTTTGTTACTTGAATTATTCATTATCTAATTTCACGATATCCTAGAGGGAGACCTTCTAATTGTCTGATAAGTGCTAGCCATACAGGACCTGTATGTGCACTATGACTTGGCTGACAGACTCACTGCAGCCAACAGTTAGTGGCAAGTCACTTTTTCCCATACGTAGTATGCTCTCTTTTTATGAGGTATTCCGTATAGTGACTTGTTGGGGCTTAGATTTCCCCCCCCCCAAATCTGACTCATACCTAGAGCATCCAAATAACAAGTGTTTCCAGTGCAGCCCAGTAAGTCCCAGCAGTCATTTGACTTGAATGGCAGTTCTACTAAATCTTTTCCCGAGAAGCCCAAAAGGTCCTGGAGCTAGGAATTATTTTGAAGTGTTAACTCACATGCCCTGTCATATGTCTGTTTCCTTAGCTTTATTTTATTATCATAAGTAATTCCTAAATATATCAAAGATTTTGTCTTTCACTGTGTGTTTTTTCTCTCTTTCCCCCCCCTCCCCTTAATTTAAAGACCGTATAAAGCAAGTAGGGATACATAAAACAACTGTTAAAAAGTGCTTTGCTGTTTTAATAGTCTCCAGAATGAGCCTAAACTGAAACTGCTTTCAAAGAACAAAACAAAAAAAAACTTGTTCTTTTTCTTCCCCGTTCTCTTGGTTTTATTTGTCACATCAAAAGCCTCTTTAAAAGAGCATGATATAGATGTCTCTTTCTCTCTCATGCTTTGTGAAGCTAGTCCCTCTGAAGGTATCTTATGACCAGAAACATCACTGAACGTTGGTGCCTGCACCTTAATCCAGGTACTGCATAAAAACATATGCTTAGGTGTGTGGATTAGATTAGAATACATCCACAGCTGGAGGGTTGTGGAGGTGAAATGTGAAGTCAACCCTTCCAGTCAGCACTGCAGAATATGCTTCTCTGTTTTCACAGCAGCAATCACCCCTCTTTCTGCTGAACTATTTCTCAGCTTTCTAGGAATGTTTAATCAAAAGGTTGGATAGGTTTTAAATACAGTAAATGCTGTGTCTTCTGGTCCTGTACTAACCGGAAAGCTCTATAAACTGGCATTTTTAATCTTTATAGAAAGTCCAGTTTATAGTCTGGTTGGCATGGGGCTGGCAGGTTCCCTACCTGGCTCCGCATGGCTCCCTGGAAGCGGCAACATGTCCCTGCTGCTCCTAAGCGGAAGCGCAGCTAGGCGGCTCTGTGCATTGCCTCTGCCCGCAGGCATTGCCCCCGCAGCTCCTATTGGCCGTGGCTCCCAACCAATGGGAGCTGTGGAGCCAGCAGTCTGGGCAGGGCGGGGGCAGTACGCAGAGCTGCCTCAGCAGCAGGGACAGGTCACCACGCCCGAGGTGAGCGCCCCCTGGATCCGGTGCCCCAAGCCCCTTCCCAAACTCCCTTCTCCAACCCCCAGCCCTGCACCCCCTCCTGCACCCAAACTCCCTTCCTCTTAGTTGACTGGAATTTTTTACTCACCAACACCTCCCCATTCCCCCAACATGCAGGATAAAAAAAGCATTTACTGTAATTGTTTAAACTACAATGGTGGTGCTGCTGCTGCGGTCACTTCATAACTTCCTTGGCTTTTTCTTCCATCTTTCCAGGAGTTCCAGGGCCCAGGAGCTTGCTTTTCCTCCTTGCTTTCAAATGGGGACTGAATGTAACTTCCAATGTGCCTACCAGCTTACTTCAGGGACCAAATTCTGTGCTGATTTACATCCTATTGAAATCAGTAGGATTGTACAGGATTTCAATGCAGAATTGGAAGAGCCAATGTGTCTGCTAGAGGGGGTTGCAGGGAGAAATACTATAGATACCGCCATTAGATAGATGAGAGAGACATTTTCTCTTCACCCCATCCCAACTTCTTCTTTCCGGTTGATATCCACCTCAACACAATCTCAAGTATCATCCATTCCTCACAGCAGATTGGATGCCCATATAATTTCTTTGAGAGCAATGCAAGATGTTCTCTCCCTTCACTCCCAGCCCCTCCTAATCTGGGAGTTAGGGATCCCACTCAGCACATGGATTCTGACTCCATTCCCTGTTTGGTGATTCTGATGTCTGTACTTAGAACAGAAATGGGTAGAGCTGGTTGGAAAATGCAGATTCGTTGAAAGCGAATTTGAATGTCATTTTGAAACTCTGCATTTTAACCTTTTTGGAATGGAACATTTTGATTTTTCTGTTTGTTTGTTTGTGTTTTATAAAATGAGACAAGTCTACATTGAAACAATGTTTTGATCATCCCAAATTGCAGGGTTTTTTTTTCCAACTTTGATTCATGGGAAATCTCAAAAAAAATTTCGTTCTCTTCCAGAACGGAAAAAAATTCAAAATTGCAAAACTTTCTCTGAAGCAAAAAATCTGGTTCCTGCACAACTCTAAAAGTGAGCCTCTATTCTGCTCAAGAAAGTCCATGTCAATTATTTTTGGAAATGGAAGTGATTAGTGTAAAGGTGGAAAGAAAATACGCATTTAACAAAAAATAAACAAACCCAAACCCCAAATTCATATGGATATTTTCTTCCAGCGCCATCTTGAAAACTACAAGAATCTATACAGGCTGAGAAATGCCATGTATGTACGTTACAGGGATTTGTTGAACAAGAAAGTTCAAAAGCAACGAATTCAGATCCAAATGTCTGATCTCAACTTCAGACAAAATCTTGAACAGCAAGGAAGAAAAAAGGTATGGATTTTTTTTTTATTTTGAGGGAAAAGAAGGGAGACTTTCCTACTGAAAATATAAGGAAATGTTTAGAAAGAAATGGAAGGCTTGACTGGAAAATTTTAAGAGATCCCCTCCCCCACCCCGCACCCCCAATACCCTTTCTAAGTTGTATGAGTTTCTTTTCTCTTATGAATATGCAGGGGTTAAGTGGATAATTCCCATTAGCATTAATACAATGTAACTATGAATCCCCTCCTTTCATGGGAGGGTGGGCAAGTTGGTCTGTTGGTGGGGAATTAATCCTGAAAGTTTCAAACTCGGGATTTTCTCCTGGAAAGTGAGCTTGTTGCAAGAAGAAAAATGACTGATTTAAACTGGAAAATGTTCCTAAGAGCACAGTGAGATTAAAGATAATCCTCTTTATAAAAGAAAAAAAAGTCCTTGCCTGAGTCATTAATAATTATTGATTAAAGACAAGCCAGACTTCTAAGAAACTTTTCGCCATTTTTGGTGTATGAAAACAAACTAGTTCATTTCACTTTTTCTTTCAGTAAGTCACTTGCTAGAATGTATTGACATTTAATAAAATCCATTAAATGTCGTTAGCTTTTATAAAGCCTTCCCCCTCCCCCCCCTTATGAAAAAACTAAAATTTGGACTTTAAACTACCTGGCAGCATTGCTTTGAAGTAATGGATGCTGAATCCTTAGCACGATCACCTACAGTGCTTTTAATCTTCTTCTTTAGTGTGGAACACAAGCCACAAAAGTAAGGCTGTGTCTATTCTGAACTTACACGTTAATTAGTCTGGAGCTCGCCCTGTTGGTACCACCAGTGGAGCTGAACTGATGATGATGTAAGAATGGGACAGTCTGAGAGAGCTCTGTGTTGATAAGACTAAAAAGTGTGTATTTGAATAGGCTAGTACTGTAAAACGCAAGTATAGGACAGCCACTTTCAGAGGAAATTAGGACTAAAATATTTTTAAGAAATATCAAAATGTTTAAAACAAAACTAATATTTCTAATGTAGCAATCACAAAATTCTGATTTTGTGGGGGGAAAAAAAACAAATGGTCTCCTTGCTCTCCTATGACACATGAAATAAAACAGATGTAAACTGAAATGAGAAGGATGGTCCCTTATGATGATGGAAGGCTTGAGAGAGAGAGACATGTAAATTTTTAGGAGTTGGTTTTTAGGCATCACTGGGAAATGTAATATCTGTGTGTGACTTTCTCTTCTTTGAGAATTGCCTCTGTGCCTTTTGCACTTGTGGGATATTGTGCTCTTGGTGTTGAGCTGTGGAACTGAGCAAAAGAGATCTTGCGTGAAGTTGAACTTCTTGCCCTATTCTGCAGAGGGTATGCACCTCCCTATCTATAGAGTCCTTACATTATATAGGACTCCAAGGCAGAGGGGAAGGCGGGCAGGTAGTCTGAATGCACGGAGGTGACTCTTGAAGAGCAACAGTTACTGTTAAGTACCCTCCCTCTTTTCCAAAGGCATTCAAAAGAAGAGGCTGATGCATGTGAACCAATAAAATCACTTTTCAGGCTATCATGCAGTCATTAAAGGTATCCACATTTCTGATCCTTTGTAGGTTATGTGCTACTTTTTATTATTATTTCTCCCCCCTCCTGCTTCTTTATAACATTTGAGCACCTAAAATGCAGGAGTTCTGCAGAGGGTTTAACACAGTGGTAGGCAACCTATGGCATGTGCGCCGAAGGCGGCACGCGAGCTGATTTTCAGTGGCACTCACGCTGCCCGGGTCCTGGCCACCGGTCCAGAGGGCTCGGTTTTGTTTTAATTTTAAATGAAGCTTCTTAAACATTTTAAAAACCTTATTTACTTTAATATATAACTAAACTATTATTGTATGTATAGACTTGTAGAAAGACCTTCTAAAAACGTTAAAATGTATTCCTGGCACATGAAACCATAAATTAGAGTGAATAAATGAAGACTTGGCACACCACTTCTGAAAGGTTGCCGACCCCTGGTTTAACACAACTTCTGACAACGCAAACCTAAGAGTCTGTCTGTGCTCAGGATTTATTGGTAATCAAGGGGATAAATTTTAGACAGCAGTTTTATTATGCTTAAAGAGCTTGTATGTTGCAAAGACTTTAAAAAACAAAAAACAAAAAACCAAACCCACCCTATGATGTAATACTGAGGGATAATAAAAAAATAACAATAATCCAAACCCCAGGAAGAGTGGTCGTTTTAGACTCTGCCTTATTTGTGGACTGTGTGTTAAAGTAAGTTAAGAAAAGCACCTGCTTATGCAGTACAAACCCAGTGGTCTTTCCTTTGCAGATGACTTCAAAGGCTATGGCCAAAATTTTTGAAAACAGGTGCATGAAGTTGGAACCTATATCCTTGCTTAGGCACCTACATAAATGGCCTGTCTTTCAAAAGTGTTGAGGACCCAACAGCTTCTATTAAATTCAAATCAGTTATGCCAGCAGAGATTGTGCTCTGTGTGTGTGTTAGTGTAAGATTTACAATATCCTTAAGTATTCATGTCTTTGCATTTAAACACTTGGGTTTGTATGTTGTGAGAGCTAAATAAATTTTTGTCAATTAGCAAATTTAACTAGACTTTGAAACTAGGCAGAACTATGTTGCAATATCTAGAAACAGCTGCTCCACAAAAACCAGTTTCCATAGGTTGCAGCTCCCCAAATGTGGATACTGGGAATTTGCTACCCATCCATTGCTAATGGAGCTTCTTTCCTGGAGTCCGCCTCTGCAGTGTTTGTGGATCTGTGAGAGGTTGTTAGGAGGACTTACATTCCTCTTCTAATTTTAAAAATAAATAAATAGGAGCTATCACCCTGAATTTTCACTGCTGAGCATGTCATGTTCACCTTAAGCACTAGAGAACACTGCTGCCTTAAATAAAAGACCACAGTTTATTTCTCAAGGCTGCATGTCAAGCTGAGAAAGTGAAACTGGGATGGCAAGTGAGTTCTGGATCTTGGTAATCCCTCAGGAGTTAGATGGAGAAGAAGAATTGTAGAAGGAGCATTTTTGAGCAGCTGTTTATCCTCCACTGATGAATAATACTGATGACTCCAGTATTTGATATTTTGATCTCCGGAACTAACTGGCCTTGGTTGTACAACTCGTGTTGGTGAATACTTACTAATGGGACTCCTCACACTGCAGCCAGGCAGAGTATGTCAACACTGCATTTTAAAAACCACAGCATCAAGTCTCAGAGCGCTGGTCTGCAGCCTCAGCCTTGCAAGGCTTGTGCTATGGCACTATAAAAAGCTGTGTAGATGTTGCAGCTCAGGCTCTGAAATCCACCTTCCTCCCTGGGCTTTAGAGCCCAAACTCGAGCCAGAGCCCAGATGTCTCCACAGCTGTTTTTAGTGCTGTAGTGCGAGCTCTGAGACTCACTACTGAGGGTTTTAAAACCTAGTGTAGACATACCTGCTTCTCTTATCGGGAAGGGTTCCACAGTCTAGCCTGTTTCACATGTTGTAACACATGATGATGTGAAAATTATGTTGTGTGGTGATGACAATGCACTGGGCAGGACTGTCTCTTGTGTGTTTGCACAACTCTAGCACAGTGGGATCTGGTTTATGATCAGGGTCCTGAGGCACCATTGCAATAAAATATTATTTAATAATAATTTTCAAAATTGCTGAACTATCCTACTAGCAGGATGTGGGAGTGTACTGGTGAAACTGGGATCCCAAAAAACTGAAACTAAGTGACAATGCTATGCTAGGAAATACAATGTTTTTATTGTTGCATGTGAACTTGTAGCATTATCTATGCATAGGGTCCTTAACAAGTTGAAGTCAAAACAGTAGGGCAGCAGTGGGTCTCTTCCCCTCCCCCTTGTAACTGCATGATCACAAGCTTCACTAGATGGCGCTTGTATTAGGTTCATTTGGTGTTAACAGGTTAAAACTGTGTGGGAATTTACGCTACTGTTTTCAAGACTATCTGGAGACAATAAAACAGACATGTTTATGAAATTGCAACCATTCTTACACGAGTACATGACGCTATTACAGAAATATTCTGAGCAACTTAAACTATTTAATCAGAAGCTTAGATTTTCCTGTAACAGGTTGTAATACTGAGGTCCAAATTCTCTGCTAGTGTCAATGGGAACAGTGCCAGTGACTTCAGTGGAGTTTTGCCACAATTTGCTAGAGACTTTGGTCCTATTATTTTTATTTCCTTCCTTCAACCCCAGCGCTCACTGCACGCACATGCACATATAGATATTTTTTTTTCTACACCCTGTAAGAACTGGCATGCTTTGGTTTCTTCACATTGTAAAATGAAGGAAAATCACCCTTTTAGTGCCCAAAAAATACAAGTACTGAAGGTTACGGTCTAATATGAAAATGAAATAGGGTTGGGGAAATTTTGACTCGGTTGAAAAACCAAAAAGATTTTGGATTTTCATTTTTTTGACAAAAAGCTTAAAATTATCTCTGGAAAACATGTTTTCATGGAAAATGTCCTTTGCGTAGTCAAAAACCATGAATTCTCCATCAAACAGTTGCAGTGGAAACTTGTCAACCAGCCCTACAATAAAGACTTAAAGGCAAATAAATAAAATTGTACTCCCTTGGGATATTGCAAGCAGGTCTCAGAACGCTTCCTGTTTAATGCCCGAGTGACCTGCTACTTATATACAAGCCATACAGAATGGAAATCAAGATGATTTCCATGTGCTCACTTCTAACATTTTTTAGTAACCAGATCCTGGTTTCCTCCTATATGCCAGATAATATAATATAAAGTATGTGTAAACTTCAGTGTTACTTTTGCTTTGTTTTATTTTAAATAGTTTTATGGAATGCATTCTTGGTTAGCAGGGAAGCGGTTAATGAATTTTGTATTTTATTGCAAGAAGGTCTCTGAACAGATAATTGCACTATCCTGCAGGATCAGGGCCAGTATTTCCTTTTTGTCTGTCCCTTTCTGTCACCTTTTTAAATGTCTACTATTTCTCATGGTAAAACAGGTTTTCGA